GGCTTCTCTGTGTTTCAGGGAGAGAGATGACCCAAAGGGACCTGAGCAGCATCTTGCATCTCTCCCTCAGGGATGCCCAACACAAAACAGCTCTCCAGCACCCAAAGGGACTGCGTCCTCCTGGGAAATCCCAGCCTGACTTTGAGATGGACTCTCCACCCCTGACTGGAGCAGAGCTTTCTCAAGTCCATGATGCCATATGGGTGAAGCAGAGCATCACCACCCCCAGGGCAACGGACCAGGGTTGGGGACCTGAGCAGGGAAAGGGCCAGGATGGAAAACTAGGGGATATGCAGCCCTAGAACAGCCTGTGGCCACCTTGGTGCCTGCCTGTTGTACTCAGCATCACCAACACGCTCCAGCCAGCCCTGTCCCTCCAAACTGGGGATGGTACAAACCACTTTTGGCAATGGAGGTGGAGATGAGTGAGCAGACATAACTGCAGGAGGACTTCACAGGCTGTTTTGCACAAAGGATGGTCTGGAAACCCGACTGGGACTTTCCTACAGGGGCATTTTTAGCTCGAGTGATCCAAAAGGTGAGCCTCTCTCACCATCTCCTGAATTGTCCACCTCCCAGCTGTGGCCCGTGGCTACAGGAAGCCTTTCTGGGACAGGGGGTCCCCATCCTGCATGACAGCAATGCCACCAAGGAGAAGAAGCCATGACAGCCTTATCCGGACCCTCCTCTGTTGCCATCTCTGGGGCTTTCCTGATTGTAGCTCCTTTGAGGAAGGGCACTTCAGTTTTGCATGCAATAAAATAGCCATTCTCTGGACTTTCCTGACGTCATGACAGCTCTTCCCCATCATTTGCTCTCTTGGTGATCTCACCAGGAACAGCTTGGCTGCGGAGCCAGAGCAAAGTCCGGAGTGCAGCGGTGTTCAAAGGACGTGCTGGGTGGAAGGAGGGGGTTCAAGCAGGTGTTCAGGCAGATAATGCTTTTTTCCACAGAAATGTATTTAGCAAAGATGAAGAGTGTCCCGTCTCCATCCGTACCAGCCACCATGAGACCATACATCAAAAAATGAGGTTCCACGAATAATTTCAGACCAAGACATGGCTCCTAAGGAAGCATGTTGTACCCAGCAGTCAGTCTGTGATGGGCCCAGGGAGATCTCCACAAGGCTCTCTTTGGTCTCCAGACCTCCACAGAGGCTCCAGCCACTGGTCCGTGTTTTTCTAACACTTAACTCCACAGAAACTCCTGTTTCCAGCCCCAAACCTCCCTCCCCATGCTGCAGGTGGCTCTGACATCCCCATGTGTGAGGATGGGGCTCCCCAACAGCATCCCCTCCCGCCCCCCCCCACCTTTTCTCCTTGAAGATGTCCCTGCTTATTGCAGGGGAGTTGGACTAGATCGCCTTTAATGGTCCTCTCCAACCCAAACTGTTCTATGATTCTACAATTCTAATCTTAATTAGATCTCAGTCCCCAAGTTATTTTTCAAGTGATGGTGAAATCTGGAAACAACCAAGGGAAGAAGGTCATGGAAGGTAAAACAGTGCAACACCCAGGGACAGTCAACAGGGTCTAAAAACCACAGGAGAAGGATGTAAAGCAACTTGCCTCGGCATCGTAGTGAAATTCAAGCTGAGGGAACCTAATCAGCTGGGAAAGAGGATTTTCTTCATTAAAAATGTGGCTGAAATATAAGACTTTTTGAAAGTAATAGGAAGTGGTTGATTTTCATGTGGAATAAGACTCATGATCCTGCAGCTGTAGCCAGGCCAGGAGGTGACTGGGAAGCAATCACAAGGAAGATGCTGGAGAAAGCAGATGGGACCCTGCCAGGAGGGGCTTATAAAGAGCTGATTAATTCAGCATTTATATATATAGATGTGTGCTTTTGTAGGTGTTTGCATATTTGCGTGCATGCAAAAGGCTCGACAGCCCTCGCTGAACCCCTGCTGCCTGTTTGCATATGTACAAATGTGTGTATATACACACAAACAGGACACAGGTGGGGATTGTGACCGCCCTGTCCCCAGCCCAGCCCTTCCTCCTCTGTTCATCTCTCCATCCTCTGCCTCTTCCCTCTTCCCTCTGCCACTCCTCTCCCTCCGAACTGCTTGGCTGGAGGATGGTCCCTGCTCCCCTCACAGGGTAAAAAATGGGATTACGTAGTAAAAGTGGAGGAAAATTTAAAAAAAAGTGTCCTTCCCTTCCTTTTTCTTTACAGAGCATTGAAGCATCAGTTTAAGCAAGGGCTCGCCATCCTCTGAAGCATCAGCACTAACAGCATGGCCTGGTGCTCCAGGCTTATTCCACCCAGGGATTCTTCCCCTGCTTGGATACCCATTTTTCTAACCAACCCCCAAAAAAAAAAACCTCTATGTTTTTCCCCCTATTCTTAAGCCTGTAAAATCAATCCACGCACAGGCAGCAGCAGGTAAAGGCAAAAAGAGTCTTTGCAACAGGATGGAACAGAAGAAAGACCATATCTCCAGGTGATAAAATTTTATTACAAAATATGAGATAGATTAATAGTTGTAGGGGAGTTTCGGGGAGAGGGGCTATGTAACAAACGAAAGCATCACCGGAAAAATAAAACTTCCACCCAAGTTTTCAAGGTCCCAATTATTATTGTTTTGGTTTTGTTTTGTTTTTTTTCACATTGTGTTCATCTCGGATAGTAAACAATGATTTTCAAACACAGCCCCACCAAGAGATACAGTGCTCTTTTCCTATTTACAGCGATTTTTCCTGGCGCAGCAGAGATGCATTTTTTTTGTTCTTGCAAACCTTTTACAATGTCCCCGTCACCTCAGTGTCCCAGGGGAGCGGGGATGGAGGAACCTCCACCCCTCCCTCAGCAAAGAGGGGCTTTGCTCCATCCCTCCCCATATTCCCCAGGAAGAGTTGCCCTCGGCCACCGAGAGCTGCCGTGAAATGCCAGACTAGAGGTTCTCCACTTCTGTACACATAAAAACAGAGAAATTAAAGCCGTGGTTTCCCTTTGGCCTTTTTTTTTTCTTCTCTTTCTCTCCTAAAAGTGTTGTCTTTGCATCAGTAAAAGATTTGCATGTCAGCGTTTTGCATGCAGACCCGCGGCGCTGCTTGGGAAGCAGCACTGGATCGGGGTGTCTTTTTGTTAAGACACTTCTTCCTCTTCCCCCCCCCCCCCATTCTATGTGAGATTGAGCAGATGCAATTTTTTTTCTGTAGTGAAAAAAAACCACAAAACAAGATTGTCAGGAAAATTATTTAAAATTCCCGCAAGATTGAAAGCTGCCTGTTGGTTGCTTTGGCTTTGTACTGGTTTTCAGTGAACAGGTTTCCAGCCCCAGCAGCAAAACAAGGAAGGGAGAGATGGAAATGGGGGTTAAGCAGAGGTTTCCTTCTCTAATAAAAAAGAGCGGGGGCAATGAGATCCCCCCGAGGGCCACAGGTGAGGGCTAGCCCCATGAGCAGCCTGGTGGCCTCAATCGTGGCTGGGTCACCCCTGTGGTTTGGCTCACACTTTTAGGAGGTTCAACCACTACAGATGCACCAAAAATACATCTTCCTGTACGCAGGTTGCAGTTATAGCCATGAGGGCTGATGGTTCCTGGAGGGGACAATGATGCCACAGGCATTTCGTGCCAGGGCTCACCCACTGAAGAGTGAGGTGGAACCCGGCAGGTCCCAGCACGGCCGCGTTGGGTCCCCACCAGCCCCACCAAACCAGCCTGAGCTTCCTGGAGACGCTGGCAGGGACCGGCTGAGGCATCTCCAGGCTGCCCTGACATTCCTTTGGCATGAGCTCAGCAGACACGCGTGCTCCTACGCCCTGCACCACCACCATCCTCCCAGGGGTTTTCTTCCATATCCAGAGACCTTCCCTGAGCCTCACCAGACCCTTCTCTAAGCAGAAGGGGTAAAAGTACCCTCTGCACAAAGCTTCAGGCCATGCACCACTCCTACCCCCCCCATTTTTGGGGGGGAATGGCACTGCATGGCCTATTCACTCATATAGCTCAATCCAGCCTCCAAGGTGAGGGGAGAAGAAGAAGGAGACCAGGTCACAGTGGTGGCGTTGGCAAGGTCCTGCTCTGTGCCCCGAGGAGGAACCAGACCCCACACCCAACAAGGTACACAGCAAACGAGCCCTAACGAGCTGTGACGACGAGCAATGGAAGAGTTGGGAAAAGGCCATGGAGCACCTGCACGTGGTCAGCAAAAGCTGGTGTATGAGCCAGACTCTCCAATCCTCACTTGAATATGGTGTCAAGAGGGTGCCTCATCAAACTCTCCAGCCAGGTGAAAGGCCCTAGTGCTGCCATCTGGGAAGCCCTTCCCACACACCGTCAGGGAAAGTCACCCAAGCTGGTGGCTCTCAGCAATTCGGTGACCTCACTTCACCCCTCCATTCCCATTCCCAATCTTCCTGATGGCATGGAGAAAGGAGGAGGCTTCTTGCCAAAGAGAACCACAAAGGGCTCACCCCACCAGCCCCAGGCACATCCTCCATCCCAAAACCTACACCACACCATGAACCCCACCACCACCACATCTTTCTTACCCTCCTCTCCTGTCACACCAGACCAGCCACATACACCTCAGGTGTGATGGGCTTTATTTATCCAAGGACAACCAGGAACCCAGCTTTTCAGCTAATATGCCATTGGGCCATGGCAGAGAGGGGTGGTCTTCAAATTTCCACCACCTGAGATGCCACGGTTCAGCCTCACCTTTCAGTTGATGCTGCAGAGGCATTACTCAAATTTGTTTGAGGAAGAATAAAAGAGGAGGACGGCGTGGGGGAAATCAATATTCTGTTGGAGGCACCGGGGCCCATTATTTGTTCCTGATTTATTTATTACCTGCACGGCTGCTGTTTAAACTGGCATGGCCTGGTTCTGCCTAAGTTTAACCCCCAGTAGGCTTCGAAGAATGGCTGGTGGGTCCCACGCGTCAGCGGCACCCCGCAGGAGAAGAGGGAAGGTGCCTTACGGAGAACCTGTGAGGTAGGTAACATGATTACAATCTGAACAGCAGGATTTATTGGAATTTGTTTCAAAGATGCTTTTTTTCCTTTTTTTTTTTTTTTTTTTTCCTTCTTTTCTGTCTGGACGTGAGGAAATGGCAACAGCAAAAGCCGGGTGTGATGATTGGTGATGGCTGATTCCTCGTGTGCGTGTTCCCAGCAGCAGCAGAGCCTGCCCAGTGCTTTATGGAGAAAGGCACAGCGTGTTCTGGGAAACCAGACCTTTGTCAGTGGCTTCTTTTTTGCAGTCCCCTGGGTGGCTTCAAGACCCGCGCTGGTCCTCCCAGAGACACCTGAAGTCAAAATTCATCTTGGAAGCAGAAATGCTAAGGACACAACCAAAAAAAACCTGGCCGAGCAGGGCAGATTCGCAGCCCTGAGTGAGCTGGCTGCCAGGAAGCCACAGGTGGGCTCAAGGGGGACACAGATGATGGCTTTGGTCATCTGCTTTTGTGCTGCCCCTCGCTTGAAGGCACGTCAGGTGAACATGTCATTGGCCCTTTCCTCTTCTGTGCCCCCACCGAGACTGGGATTGTCAACCCAAAGAGCCCTGGGCATCTATGTGCCCTTGTTGTCACATGTCAGAGGTGCCACCTCCATGGCCACGTCGTGGGGCAGTCCAAGGGGATTCCACCCCCAGTCTGACGTGAGAAACCTCACGTGCAGCCAAGGCTGCCAACCCCTCGTGACACTCCTCAGGCTCTCCAAAGGCAGCGCCCCGAAAAGGGGTCCAAAACCAATCCCAATGAGCTTGAGACACAAAGGACAGATGCTCCTGAGTGACAAATAAATAGCAGGCTTGCTGGAAGAAAGTCCTTTGGAATCCAAGGTCGATCGCCCCAGTGCCACCGGGAGCCTCGTCATGAGATCAGTTTGTAATTATAACTTATTTTTTAATGAGATTTCTTTTAAAACGAGGAGGAGTTGGGGACAGGGCTCACAGAGGAGGCTTGCCAGCCACCCTTGCCCTGCCGGTTGATCACAGCATGGGTTTGTTCCTACGTAGGAGAAGAGGAGAGGTCCCCTCAGGAGAAAAAAAAAAAAAAAAACCAAAACAAATAGACACAGAAGCAAAAAGTTTCAGCTGCTCTCGGAGACGTGGGCGAAGGTCGGCGGCTCCTAGTTCTGGTGCCTCTTCATGTGCAGGGCCAGGTGGTCGGAGCGGGAGAAGCACCGGCCACAGGCCAAGCACTTGAAGGGCTTGGCCCCCGTGTGCTTCCGATAGTGCCGGGTCAGCTCGTCGGAGCGGGCGAAGCGCCAGTCGCAGCCTTCCCAGGTGCATTTGTAGGGCTTCTCGCCTGCCACGGGGTGGAAAGAGACACAGGTCACAACCCCCACCACCCAAGAACCTACATGGACACGCATCTGCATCCCAACCACCCGCCCAGTCCTTCCTGAGGTGCTCCATCCCCCTTCCTGAAGGGCAACCAGGGCTGCCCCGCTGCAGAACAGGGCTGGTGGCCACGCTGGTGGCCACTACCAGGTGTACACAGTCCATAGCCACCAAGGGACCATAAATGACCTGCAGTAACCAGGTCTTGTCCATGTGTCCTCCCTGCTTTGCTTTCCAGTCTTGGTTTCTACTGATGTTCATGTTGCTGTTGGATTTTGGAGCACTTCTGGCTAAAAAAAATTAGGTGGTTTTCTTTTTTTCTTTTAACTAGAAAAGCAAAAATTCCTATGGAATGTGCTGCCACTCATACAGGTGTGGGGGGGGCCTCAGAAGGAAGAAGGGGGCGATGCCATTTGATTTTTTCTCAAAACCTCCCATCTTTGAAACCACCACCCAACTCCTCCTGCCTGGAAGCCCAGCCCTGCAGCAGCAGCAGCTCCCCGGACACAAAACACCCTGTTTTCTCCAGAGCATTTGGGTGACGTAATGCCCTTTTCCCCCCCCTCACCTCCTCCTGCCCGTACACACCTATTCCCCAACTGAAATCAATTAAATTGTGCAACTTCTCAGCCAGCTGGGAACTGGGCTGGAAAAGCCCGTGTTGGCTTCCAGGCTTCCCCGCGTTCCCGGGGGGTTGTGGGGCTGAACCCTGGCTGCAGCCCTCTCCCCGCAGGGGTGGGGTGCTCTCAAATATTAGCCCTGGCTTCTTAACAGCCTGAACAAGCAGGCAGAGTTCAGGGAATGTGCTGACTTCCCCGACCTCAAATATTTACCCTTTCATCGGCCCATGGCTGAGCGGCACCACGGCGGCGTGAGCGCACGTAGACACGCAGCCCGTGCATGCACAGGCATGTGTGTCCTGCTCCGGCGTGTTTCCCCCCTCCTCCTCCTCCCTCCCTCTTTTCCTCCCCGCAGCCTGTGGGCTCGGCGAGCGGTGGATTTGGCCAGGAAACAGGAAAAAAAACCTAACTCAGCCACGGCAAGATCTACAGCATCTTGCGCTCAGCATCTCGTGCATGGACGTCCCAACCCAGAGGAGACCGGGCACCAAGACCACGTCCTGCTCCTCAAAAAAAAACCCTGAGCTCTGCACTATGGGGAGGAAAAAAGTGTGGTTTTTCGCCTCTCAGGTAAATACAGAACTTAAAAAGTCAAGTTTTAAGACAAAGGCAGGGTTTGCACCGCGCAGCCACAGACATTGTCCCAGGCAGGTCACCTGGCTGGGTCAACCCTTCCAAGGCCCTTCAGTTTCAAACAATAACAGGTTGATCTCCAGGATAGAAACAAAATGCTTTCCATTGTCCCGGGAGCTGGCTCCATCTCCCAGGACAGCACGGCAGGGCAAGCTCAAACAAAGGACCCAAACTGGCATTTCCCAGCCCCCGGGAGGCGGGGGAGCCGCCGCCGGGTTATATATTTAATCTCACAATGGCACCCAGGAAATGAATGGTGTCTCCAGGAGATGAATACAGCCCAGCCCATGGCAACGGGGCAAACCACAAGGAAAGATCTTAGAGATGGGGCACTTCTCAGCCCAGCTCCCACCAGGAGAGAAAGGGCCTTATTAACCCTTGGAGTGATGGAGATGAAGCTGCAGGGATTGGGAGGGTCCCTGCCCTTCCCACTTCGGTGCTTGGCGAGGCTGAGCCCTCAAGAGCAAAACAGGAGGCTTCAAAACCTGAAAATTTGGACACAGACACCCCAAGCCCACCTCACATGGCTCTCTGGTCTGGATTCCCTTCTTTTTTTTCCCACCCCACAGCACCACCAGTTTTTCTTGACCACTCAGGTCACATCGTAACCTCTCTGCCCTGCCCTCTGCGAAGTGGAAGGAGACAAACATGCTCAGATTTCCAGCCCAATTAGTGGGAAAACTGGAAAAATAACTGCATTTTATCGGGTTCAAAACCCACCCAAGTTTGCCAGGATACATCTTTAAATTATGACTTGTAAGGACAGTGCCTGTCTTAGCCGGGTCACATCTCCAGGCACAGAGCTCAGCCCCATGCTCCAAACAGAAGGGGAAAAAGAAATACTTAATTTTAAAGTGGGAGCCCCAGCGTATCCCTGAATCCAGTTTGCTGCTGTGACAAATGCCACCCAGCTCTGGGAGCTGGGACAACGTCCTTCCTGTCCTTTTCTTCCACCCCTTCCGTGTTGTTCTCCAGCCCCCTCCTACCCAGGCCCTGCCAAAAAAATATTGTACCTCATGCACAAAGAAAAATTCTTTGCTGGCTTGTTCGAAGGACTGATAAGAGGGAAACGGAACCCAGCCAAGTGCAAGAGCGGATTCCCAGCCTCAGGATGGGTTTTGTTCGTTGTTAATAAAAAAGAAAAGTGAACTCTGGGCCAGCTTAATTGCCTTCAGTAAAGATCAGCCCTTCTATAAAAGAGATTTATGAGGGCACTGATGGTTCCTGGACTACCTGGGGATCTGATAAAGTTTCAGGTATAATAAATGCCTTAATGAGAAGAACCTGTGCTTGAATGCACAAGTGCCACCGAGCCAGGTTTACCCCGCGAAGCTGGTTGTGGTGGGAGCTCCTCTGTGCTGGTGGCCCTGCTGACACCAGCGAGGACAGCCCGTGGCACCTTTGCCCTCAGGAATGATGTACAGCCCTTCTGAACGGGTATTTTGGAGCCATTCTGTACGTGTATTTGGCAGCTCCAGTGACACAGAGGGGACAAGCACCAGGCGCATATGGTCTGTGTGGCTGGATCACAAGGAGATTGAGGGGTTCCTTCCTCTCCTTGGGGACACAAAAGAGACAGTCTTTGTCTCCTCAGAGGTCCTATATATGCACCACATGCCTTTATGCAATCCCCGGGCTCAGCAGGATCAGACCTGGCTGGGCTTTGGGAGATGCCAAAGGAGAAGCTCAGAGTGATAGAAATTTTGGGGGCACATCCTCCTCCCAATCAATGGACTCGAGAGCCTCCAGGAGTTCTCCTAAATTCTAGACCACCCCTCTAGAAGGCAAACAAGTGCACACAGTCACTATAAACCAGTGCAACCATTGGACTTTTTTTCAACATCAACAGACCTAACTGTGCTCCTTAGCCCAACAGCCACCCTAGATTAAGGTAATTAACTCAGCTACACAATCACTGCCATTAACAGTGGAAGGAGCGTGGGCTGGCAGCGGTTCCCCATGGCGTGTGCTCTTACCCGTGTGAGTCCTCTGGTGGGCCTTCAGGTGGGAGCTCTTGGTATAAACTTTTGAGCAACCTGCAGAAAACAGAAAAAGACACAACTTCCCGGTGAGAGAGGGGCTGAAATAAACCCAGAACGTATCATATGTGGGGTTAGGGATGGAGGGGGAAGAAGGAGGCACAGACTTTCAATTCCTCCCCCCTCTCCCTTCCTCAACCAGCTCTTCCAGGCAGGATGAAAACAGGAACTTCACCACTGTTAGCTGCCTTTCTTTTTTTTGTCTTTTCTGGATTCCAGACGTAACTGATACCACTGCTGGGGCCGGGAGGATTACAAAGGACATCTTCCCAACAGGGGCGGTTGGAGGGAAGATGTCCTTTGTAATCCTCCCGGCCCCAGCAGATGAAGTGTGTTCCAGGAAGCACCAGGTAGGCTGGTGGAGCCACAGCCTGGCTTTCAGGATCCAGCATAAAGCTGGTGGGAAGGTGGTGTGTGGTGTTTTTTTTTTTTTATTGTTTTGTTTGGGTTGGGTTTTTTTTTTCAGAAGATCAGCAACAACAGGTTTAGTCAAAGAAAGACTCTTAACAGAAACACCATGACTTTGGCATCAGTCTCAACAGTGAATCGTTGCCAGTTCCTCGTTTCGGTTAGATAAAGCCTAGAAAAGCTTCTCGTGCAGCCTTTATGGCCCTGCTTCGTTGTGTTTTGACAAGTATATTAAAATAGGAATTTGCGTTTTTATGACCCGCAGAAGCAACGCAGCCCTGTTTTTCGTTGCAGCGTTTCCCCACCACCCAAACCAGCCTCTCCCAGGAGATCAGGTCTCCATCCTCTCCTGCTGGGGGGCTGCAGGAGCAGCTAGTGCCAACCCCCTCCCTGTGGCAGGAGGGATAAGGGTTGGTGACCCAATCCAGTTGTGCTTCTGATGCTTGGAAGCCTCAGAGATCCCTCACACCTGGGAGAGAATGGAATCATAGAATCATCTAGGTTGGAAGGTACCTTCAAGATCATCGAGTCCAACCATCAACCTAACTCTGGCAAAAAAACCATCACTAAACCATGTTCCCCAGCACTATGTCAACCTGTCTTTTGAATTCCTCCAGGGATGGTGCCTCAACCTCTTCCCTGGGCAGCCCATTCCAAGGCTTCATAACCCTTTCAGTATAAAAATTTTTCCTAATCTCCAATCTGAACCTCCCCTGGCGCAACTTGAGGCCGTTTCCTCTTGTCCCATGGCCTGTTCCTTGGGAGAAGAGACCGACCCCCCCTGGCTACACCCTCCTTTCAGGGAGTTGGAGAGAGCGAGAAGGTCTCCCCTCAGCCTCCTTTTCTCCAGGCTGAACACCCCCAGCTCCCTCAGCCTCTCCTCACAAGACTTGTGCTCCAGACCCCTCACCAGCTCTGTTGCCCTTCTCTGGACCTGCTCCAGCCCCTCAATGTCTTTCTTGTGGTGAGGGCCCCAAAACTGGACACAGCACTCAAGGTCAGACCTCACCAGTGCCAAGAGAGATGAGTTCACACGAGACCAAGGGCTACTCCCTGCTGGGGATGAAAACGAAGCCCAACAAGACCCCAGAAGGGTTCCCAAACCCGGAGGGAGCACCCCAGAGAGCAGGGCATGGCTGGGCTTCACATCCCCATGCACACACAGAGGAGAAAGCGCTGGGGCCACCACCTGGAAGCTTGGATCAGAGCTTTGCAAACAGGTCTCCCTTGTTCATCCAGTCACTGTCGTGAATTCGGCGTGTCCCCAGTGTCACTCAGCCCTGCTGCCATCAGCCCTGACTGGTTTCACCTCCAGCTGAACCTCAGCGTGTGAAGGATTAGAAGGAGCACTCCTCCGTCTCTGCACGTACACGCTATGGAGCCACTCGGTGTTTATTCAGCGCATGTTAAGGGTTGGGTTTTTTTTGCACAGCAGATGTGTTCCTGCCTTCCCAGGCAGGACAAAATCGGGCTGAAAACAGGCAAGCTCTGCCTTGGCAATGGGACCTGCAGGATGAGGGTGCTCCCCTGACCTGTTCCGACAAGAGCAGAGGGGTCTGTCTCGGAGCAGTGGTCCACTGACACCCTAAATCTGTCTCCTACCAGCAGAAGGTTAAAAAAAAATAATAATAAATAATCATCCCAAGCTGTAAACCGCAAGAACGTGGGTGCAGCTTCTGGCTCAGAAAGTCCCCGATCTGCAGGTTGCCAGAGGGTGGGAAGGCACAGGCACAGAAATACCTCTCTGAACGAGTCCTGTTCTGATGAACTTCCCTGGGTCATGGCTGGAGACAGGATCTGGGCTGGTCGGGGCTCTGGGCTGACCTGCCACGGCCACTCTTGTGCCACGGGAAGAGCACATCAATCCCGTGGGAGGCGGTTGGGAAATGACTTTCCTCAGTTCACACACCCCCATGGGACAAGTGTTTGCTAATCCCCAGCTCCTCCACGGCCAGGGCTCGGCCCAGGAAGTGGGAGGTGCGTGTCCCTGCACCCGAACTGGTGATTTTCAAGCCCTCACACTGGTTCCACTGGGGTTTCTCGCCTGGGGACACGATTGCTGCTCTCCCGTGCAGTGTGGATGAGAGTTTGCAGCTGTGGGTCCCACAAGCTCAGTGCAGGAAACCCTGCGAGATCTCCTCCTGCCAAGGCACTGCAGGCCTTTAGATGGACGTGCTCATGCAGTGAGGTGACACACAGGGAACAGCCTCAGCTGTGGGCTGGTCATTACCCCAAAAATGCCTTTCCACACCATCCCGGCATGGAGCTGCCGAAGGATACGACACAGAGATATTCAGCTCTTTGGAAAAAGATAATTCGGGCTACAGGGAAAGATGGTAAAGGCTCTTATGGAAATTCCTTGGTGGTTTGCGACCCGTTATGGGAGAGAGGGAAAGCAGAGGCCAGTGAGAAAGCCACCATGGGTTCACCTGCGGAGAGCGTGTGGCTGCTTGGGGTTAGGCAAAACCAGAGCAAAATGGGCAGCTGAAACAGCAGATTTCCAGGACCATCCCTGTGCTTTGCCAGAGCTCTCTGCTTCTCAGAGTCAGGCTTGGTTTTGCCAGGGAAAGGGAGAAAAAATGGCATCAGCCAGCACAGGCAGGATCAACCTCTTCTACTCCCTTGGTGGTGGTAGGAACCCCGCTTCCCTGGGGCTCTCCACCCAGCTCCATATCTCCCTTCATCATGCAGACACAGTGATTTTGGATTAAACTCCTACAGAGGCCCAAGGTAGCCCCCCAGCCCCAGTGCGTCAAGAAGAGACTCCTTCCCTCCCCAAAACCAAGCCAGTACATCAACCATGAGCCTACCTGGGAAATCACAGTGATGGATTCTCCTCTTCTCCAGCTCAGGGTTGTTGCGTCTGTTGTATTTGGGAGGCTGCATGACAATGTGCCCTTGAGAGAGGGTCCCAAGGCCGTTGGGGACTGGGGGGACCTGCGATGACTGGACCAACTTCAGTCCAAAAGTAGCTTCATAGGATGGTGGGGGAGAGATAGTGTTAATGAGCTCAGGTTGATTTTCCGGGCTGCCAGGCTGCGAGTTGGGGGGTGACGGGGGCAGGGTCACCCCTGGAGCAGGGTAGAACTGCCCTGGGATGTTGTAGTTTCCCTGTCCTTGGGAGATGTGTGGGTACTGCTTAACTGGCCCTCCTGGCTGGACGGGCCTGTGGACCACACTGGACATGGTGTTACCTGTGGACATGGTGACACCACTGAGGCTGTTGATGGCTGTGGTGCTGTTGGAGGAGGAGGTCAAGGTGGTAATGTCAGCGCTTCCGTTGCCAAGAGGCAGCTGGTAAAGCTGGGATTGCTGCGGGTTGGTGGACAAGGGGATCTCAGAGGGCATCTCCTGCTTGATGAAGATGTTGTTCACTGCCACCGACTGGGGCATGCTGAAGACGCTGGTGAAGTCGGGCAGGGTCTGCGTGGAGCCAGAGGCAGAAGAGCAGGGCTGGGCAAAGCTGGTGCCAGGCTCTGTTTTGATCTGTGGGAAGGGTGCCATGGGTTTGGGTGGCCGGTAAAGTCCAGTGCGGAGGTGCGTCGTGTCTGGCAGGATCACGTTGATGTTCACGCTGTAGGGCGTAGAAGTGGGCTTCTCTGTGGAGAAGAACTCGTCCACCACTGAGGCACTCTCTCGGCGGTACTTCTTGTCTGGTATCATGGGGATGGGGGGCACCTCGGTTGAAAGGTACTTGTCCATTTCAGACCGTCCCTGTGGCAAAAAATACAGAGGAGAGAACTTGTGAGGCATGACCTTGACAGACTGGTGGTGGGAGTTCAACGTTCAACAAGGACTTAAGCCAGCAGGAAAGGCAGAGAGCAGCAAGAACGGCCCAGGAGGCACAAGCTGCCGTGATTTAGCTTCAGTCTCTGAATCACTCTCCCCAGGAGTGAATCACTGTCCTCTGTCCCACTTCCCTCCTACCTCTCTGCACTGATAACAAAGGGCAAGCTAAGCAGGGGATGCAGTTATGAGAGAGATATAGGCTGATAAAGAAGAGCCGAGCTTCGGGTACAAGGCTTTGGTCACACAAACAAGAGAACTTAACAGCAGAAATGGGTTGAAACCATGAACTCCGCTCCAGCCAGCCTCACGCTTGGGGCATGTTGGATCTGCAGCCCACCTTAGACATGGTGACTCTGCTCTCCTTCAAACTCAACAGCCTGGAAGGTGTTGTAGTTTATTCTAGGACAATATCTTTAATTCATCGAGAATAATTTGGGCTGTAGCCCTAGAAATCTAAGTGACGTTGCCGCTGATTCAGCAGACTGTGAGCCTGAAACGGGCACTGCCAGGCACACTGTTCCTGTCTGGTCTTGGTGAAGTGTCTCAGCCCTCACCTAACCTCCGGTTTAGTTCTAGCTTTGTGAAGCTGTTTTGACAAGCCTGGGTCCTCCGAGCTAACAGGACCTCTAGCTCAGACAAGCACCGCTTGCCAGGTTTCCTCTCCTCCTGGTTCATGTCTGATGCGGCATCCCACTGGATCCAGGCCCAATAATTCAGCAACCTGATGGGGCAACCAGCTAGGAAATTCATCCCCTGGCATTTGATGACTCAAGTTCTGCTCTTTGTGGTTAGAGATACCAGCGCTAATGCTCTTCCATAAAGCTACAGCCTTTAATTATGTGGTTATCCATGTGTCAAGCTCATTGCGAAGCCCTCGTAGACTCATTCATATGTAGAGGAGCTGGCAAAACCACCGGGTTTCCCTGGCAGAGCCTTACAGCGCACTTCAGGAGAGCAAGCTGATCTCACCCCACACCCTTGCACGCTTGAACTGTGGGTTTTACAGCCCTGAACTATGTCACCAGAGTGCCATGGGCCAAAGTCATCCCTGCTGCAACGCCATTGCTCTGAACAAAGCTGGACGGGACCCAAGAGATTTCCTCACCCTTTCCAGTGAAACATATCACCTGCGCTTCCAGCTAATTCAAAGAGCCTTTTTGCACCTCTGCGAGCCACACTGGCAACGCATGGGTAAGCTGGCTTCCACCCAAACACGGGTACGTGCCACAAATGCACCCTCTTCTACAGAAGTAGGAGCTCAGAGCAGCCGGACCTGGAAGTTCTATGCTCCCCTGGGACCGTGTTTTCAGCCCTGTGCTCACCACACTGCTGTGGCTACACACCCTGCTGTAAATCCTGTCCGTCCCCATCGAACATGCAGGACCCAAAAAGCCCATTCTCTCATTAAAGCAAGCCACCTGTTGTCACTACAACCTCACTTTGGGGCACATCTTCACTTAAACAACTCTGCTCAAGTGTTGCCTTCATCAACACCTCCCTGACCATGCTCCAGTGAGGACACCTTGGCTCAGACATCACCTAGAGCCAAAGCATCAGCAGGGAAGAGCATCAGAGACCCCCAGCTCAGTCCCTACTGGCTGGTCCAAAGCCCCAGTCTCCTCTCTGCTCCCACCCAGCAGTGTTCCCCTTGGGTTCCTGCCCAGGAACCACACCAGAGCTTCAGAGCCAAACCCTGGGGGCTCCTGCCCCGTGCCCCCACGCTGGGGTTTCACCATCACCCTTGGGAGCCAGCTCCCTGGAGGCAACACCAGAGGCTGCGAATGCCGGACATACCTGAGCAATGAAAGGTCCCACTTGCCAGCAGTGGGGGAAGGTCTTGGCTGCCTTTCTACTTCTGCACTTCCCTTATCTCTGGCATTTAACTTTCTCACCTTCAGTTCCCAAGGGAAGGTCTCCCCCCTTCCACAGCTCCAGCAGGTCCCTATATGGCAGGTGACCAGGCAGGTATATTAAATGCAGAAAGGTGTTGGGGAGCCCTAATTTCAGATCCAAACCCTACGTTCTCAGCCAAAATTCCCCCGTCCGCTGCCTCTTTGGTGTCTCCCACCCTCCTTTTCTCTCACCACCACCCCTACCTGCGCAGAAAAACCTGATAAAGCTTGTTAAATCCAATTCTGACTCTGAGCATCCCCAGGACCCTGGGGAGAGGGGGTGTGTTAAGGGGCAGTTGGTCAGAAGAGCAAAAGCGATGGGCGTTCATCGGACAGGAGAGGCCACCAACCCCGTTTGTAGCTGCAGTCCCACCAGTGTGTGCAGGATGGGGACTGTGAGGATTCTCCCCCAGCTGGAATCCAGACTGTCATAAAGCTGCTGATTGTGTCATGGGTTCTACACCACCCCCAGAGCCCCAGCATCCTCCCAAGAGGGAGAAAGGGGGGCTTTTTGCTTGTTTGTGGCCCAGAAATGCCTAGCAACCCTGTACGGCTTCCCTAAGCACCTCCCAGCCAGTGCTCTACCACAGAATCATAGAATGGTTTGGGCTGGAAGGGACCTCAAAGTCCCCCCAGTGCCACCCCTTGCCCTTGGCAGAGACACCTCCCACCAGACCAGGTTGCTCCAAGCCCCCTCCAATCTGCCCTTGAACCCCTCCAGGGATGGGGCAGCCACAGCTTCTCTGAGCAACCTGGACCAGGCTTTCACCACCCTCACAGCAAAGAATTCCTTCCCCACATCTCAGCTCCATCTCCCCTCTTTCATTTTAAAACTGTTCCCCCTCGTCCTATGGCTCCCCTCCCTGATCCCGAGTCCCTCCCCATCTCCCCTGGAGCCCCTTTAGGGACTGGAAGGGGCTCAAAGCTCTCCCTGGAGCCTTCTCTTCTCCAGGCTGAACCCCCCAACTCTCTCAGCCCCCCCCTCCCAGCAGAGGGGCTCCAGCCCTCCCAGCACCTTCGTGGCCTCCTCTGGCCCTGCTCCAACATCTCCATGTCCTTCTGATGTTGGGGTCCCCAGAGCTGGATGCAATACTCCAGTGGGGAAGTCTCACGATCCCACACCAACTCCTTGACCCACTGGGATGACTAAGTACTGACATGTCTGGGTGGGCTACAACTCAAGTGTCCTGATATGCAGGTGTCTCCACCTCTGGCTGTCACTCGTGGCTCTTTTCACCATTGGTGGGGATCCAGAGAATGGAGACATGGAGGAGATAGCTACACAGGCACCTGGGTGGCTTGCAGAGATGGAGACACCACAACCAGGAGGAACCCATGCAGTGGGGGCAGGATGAGGGACCAGAGGTGCCACCATCTCCTTCCTGGTGGATCTGGGTGGTCTGCAGTGGGGCTGGCTGGACAGGGGACAGTCCCAGCCGAGTCTCTCAGGGGCTTTAGCAGTACCTTTCACCAGTGGGGACAGGAGCATGCAGAGGGAAGGATGAGGAAAGTGCTTCACCTCAAGAATGAGCGGCGGCATCCGCTGTTCCATCCTCATGGGGTGCAGCTGTGGGGCAGACAGGGCTGGGTTAGTGTGGTGGCCACCCCCCGCCAACCTCCCCAACCACCCTGGTGACCATGGTGGGCCTCTCCCACCCTCTCCCCAGCCCCTCTTGGCCCCCAGGACCTCAAGCTGCCCACCCTGTCAGCGGGCAGGTCCCCACCACCATCACCAGTGCCTCCTCCTGCCCAGCCGTGCCTTGACATCACCTTCTCTCTCTCCACTAACAAGGATTTTTTTTAATTCTGGGGTGGATTTTCTTTTCTGTTTCACATCTCCTGTCCCGGAGTGGGGTGAGAGGAGGGATAGAGATGAGCAGAGGCTTGGTTCCAAGCTCGCACAGCCAAGTCTCTGTTTTTATGTCTTAATCCTTGCTGAGAGGCAGAGTGGGATCTACTGGGGCTTCTGGAGCTTCCCAAGGAGGACAGCCCCTTGGAGAATCCAGGCAGTAGCTTGGCCCGACTGTCAGGTTTGGTGAACTCTGGGTTTCCCATGGGGAAAGAAAGAGCTTTCCAGAGGAGGCTTTGAGGCATGGCTCAAAGACCTTCAGAGATTTCCAGCTCAGTCAAACCAGTAGGTTCTCCCAGGTCCCATGGGGCTCCAATCTACAAAGGCTGCCTTAGGGTAGGCAGAAATGTTCATGCTGTGTCCTGGGAACAGGTTGGAAACCACCAGAGCAGGCAATGAAGTGCTGAGCCTCACTCACTCAAGAATACATGTACATGAGGAGTTTTTTCTCGTCCTCCCAGTTTAGGGTCACACACACACTGTCAGGTTGGTCAGTCAGACCAGCAAGGGCTAGAAACCAGTCCAGGCCCCCCTCTCTCTCACAAAAAGCCAGAAAAACCAACCCAATGGACTCAGTTTTCCCATTTTTGGCATGTTCATATTCTGGGAGTTGCATCTAAATGGAGGATGTTCTTGTGAGTCCAAAAAGCCACATGGCCTTGAGAGGATGGGGAACAAACAGGCTGGGGATGCTGAAAGCCGCCACTCCTGGAGAGCCACTGGTCCCCATGTGGTCTTTGTGCCTGGAAGCACAAGGAGATGCTTAAACATTAAATTTCCACTTCAGATCTACAAGAGTTTGTGGGTTGAAATCTGTGTCCCGTCACCCCCATCAGCTGGAATAAACAGCTTCAGAAGCACCTGCATATTTCAGCCAAGTTCCTTCACAGGTAATGCTTGAGCCTGCAAGGAGAGGTCCCTGGAGCTGGATCATTCATTTTGAGGTCAACCACACCAGGAGAGCAACAAAACCCTGTGCTCCGCCAGCCAGCTGCACTCAAGACCTGCCATGGTAAGCAGCATAAATACAAAGGAAGCAATTGAGGGCAAAGTGGGCCCCACCAGGAGGAAGCCCTGTAGACACTGGGTCTCTGCAGACGCCTCAGCCAGCCCCAAGTGGGTCCTGGCTGCAGCCCTGCCTGGGGCGGCTCTGGAGAGGGCAGCTGAGGACACTGCGGTGGGCTCACAGGAGATAGCAATGACCTGGAACAATCAGCCCATCCCTTCCTCCCTGTCTGCCAGCCGCAGGCGGGGAATTAACCATTTTCTTGCCTTTTTGAGAAGGACTGAAATCATCACATAGCCAGGGAGCTCAGTTCATCTCAATACGGCAAAAGATATCCACCCTGACTCGATGGAGGAAGCCTCCAGGGCCTTCTAGCTGAAGAGCCACTAGATCTTCAGGGGGTTCAGTGGCCCAGTTTCCCTTATGGTCATCAGCAACACCATCATCACAATCATGGGAGATGAGGCTGAGACGCAAGGTCTGAAGGTCTTATCCCAGACTCCACCAGCTGCATCAACGAGGGCTCCAGGAGGAGTCATAGATCAGTAGGTCAGGCAAAAAATGAGCAAAGGGAAAGTAGAGGCGATGCAGACATCAACAAATCTGTGAGTTTAGAGGTACCCAAACTGGGATCTTTGGTTTGGCCAGGAAAGGAAAGCCAATAAGAAGAGCCTTTCATACAATAAAAGCACTGATCTCCTGTGGTGTTTTACCCTCAAAGTCATAGTATCTATTTCTGACCACAGAAGAGGGGCTTTTCAACTTGCTGGAGAAAAGACAGAAAAAAAGAAAACAAAAAAAAACAAAACAAGAAGGAAAGGGAAAGGGGTTAGAAGGAGTACTTTGTCCACCCCAGTGTCCATCTCCTGTGGCTAATAGGCACTGGCACGAGTCTTCCCCTTCCATCATCCGCTGATTTTCATAAATCCTGCAGGAACCTCCTGCCCCGGAGACCTCTATCCCTCCTTCAGGTGTTGTCAAAGGCAGGGTGGGGCGTTATCAGGACATTGATCAACGCACGCAGAGCCCAAGACAAACATTTCTTGGGAAGACACAGAAGAAACCAGCGCTTGAGCCTTTTTGCCAGTGATTAACCTCGAGCATCGTTAGAAGAGCGCCGGGCACTGCAGGCTGTCGAGGCAGGAGGCAGGACGTGTCTTTCTTTCCCGTGATTAAACGCTTTCTAATCTGAAGTTGATCAATAACAAACCGCCATAGAAACATCAGATGTTGTCACCACACGGGCAAGCAGCAGAGAACAAGGAGAGAAATCAATGTTTGCTAAACAGGCAATGAGCTCGTAAAGTTGGCAGAGGGAGCGGTTGAGGGGGGGAAAAGGGCTCAGGGGGGAGAAGTTTCTTCAGTTCTTGGCAGCTTCCAGCCCTGCCTGGCCCCAGTTTCCCACCCCTCCATCCTGCTCTGCAGTGCTGGGGGTCATCAAGCCCCCCTTCCCAGCTGGGTCTCCAGCTCCTGCTCAGATCCCAGCCGTGATGCTGAGCTGGTCCTCAATGCAAAGACCGTTTTGGGGACAGGGGTGCAAGCAAAATGCCAGCTTCGCCATGGCAGGTCAACAGTGGGGGTTCAAGGGATGGTGGAACAGCAGGGCACCCCCTCCAGGTGCAAGCGGGGTCCCAGCCCCAGCACAGGCATGTGTGGGACAACGGTTGTGCCCGTTGTCCAGGCCCTGGGATTACGCAGTACAGCCTTTTTCTCATACACACACCTGCACGAAACTCCAGCCTCCAAGGGAATCAGCAAACAATGGGGAGGATAATCATCAATCAAAAGCCATGGCAAGTACCTGGCAGTACCCCTTTAAAGGCACATGTTATAAATAGACCGTATTTATATACAGATTTGGTTCAATATCAGCATTTATTGTCTCCTAGTTAAATATTGACCTGAGTAAATATTTGTTTCTCTGATCATTTGGTTTTGATATTGACCTCGATCGACGTTATTTTCTGTTTGTTCCTCAAGTCTTCTGGAACTCTCTGCAAAACGGGATTAGCAAAGAAACCCCCGGGACTCTTCCTTTCAAGTACACACGGGGCCAAACATTTCACTCCTGTGAGTAACAAAGCACCGTCGCGGGGAACAGAGCCCAGCTCTGGGCTTGTGTCGCTGGGTGCTGGGCTGCAGAGGACCCCAGGTGGACTCCTCTGCTTGCTGTGTCTCAAAGAGGTTAGGAGGAACTCAGAGAAACTAGAGCTGCCCCCCAAGCAGTGGGGCAAGAGTCATCTTCACTAATTTTGGCCACCTGAAACGTGGGCATCTAAGCTGAAGACTCTGTGCAAGCTCTCTCTGGAGAAGTCCACAGAGAGGACTGCCAGAGGTGATCTATCCCACCACCTTTCCATCTTGAAGATTTCACACCTTGCAAGAGCAAGCTCCTGGAGCAGGACAAGGCCACCAAGATAAACCCTTTCTCCAAGTTTCTGCCAGGAGCTCAGGGATGGCCCAGGAGCTGAGCCGCACTACTCTGGAGGGTTATTCTGGTGCTTGAAGGACCCAAGGTAATTATCCCTTCTCAGAAACAAAGAACTTCCTTGAGGCCAAGAGTCACCATCAAGGCAGATGAGATGTGAGCAGCTGGGAGGTTGGCCGGCTTGTGGTTGAGCCAGTAGGCAACCACATTTCCAGCAGACTTGCTGACTCTGTTTGCTATTCCTTTCCTCCAACAGCTGATAAAGACTCACTCAAAGGCAATCTACCTCGGTAATTTATCACAGAAATCATGCCACTACAGTCAGCAATCCCAAAGGCCAAAGAAACCGGGAAAAACACCCTCATCCAACTCCAAGGTCAAGTGCCTGGAAGAGGAGCAGTTTGGAGCAGCCAGGCTTCAGCAGGCTTTAAGAGAGCAAGCAGAAATCTTTCCAAAAATAAATGGACTGAAAAATACCTAGCAGGGTAGACCTTGGAGACACTGAGCTTGGAGAAAGCTCTGGCTTTCACCATAGAATCATATGGGGCTGGAAGGGACCTCTGGAGATCATCTAGGCCATTGGGCCCACCTGGCCTTAAGCAGGTCTGGATGAGGGTGGGGGGGTCCCAGGTTGACATTAGAGTAGCTCCAAACTGGTTTCCCCATTTGCAGAATTAGCACACACAGCCTCGGCACTGGATGGAGCCCAACGAAAGGTGGGGGACATGGGGACAGCCATTTGTCCTCACCCATTGCTTCCTGCTCTGCTAGGGCAGGAAGACAGTTCTGTCAAAGTGTGGAAAGGGAGGACATGAGGACTTAAGGGAGCCATGCCTTCATTCACAGCTTCCTCTTTCTGAGCTGCTCTCGCCCAGCAAAGCCTGTGGTCAAGGCCATCAAAGCCAACTGGAGGTTTGCCATCAAAGCCTGGTCTTGGAGGCAGGAGGCTGAGCTGGGCAGGACTTTTGGTGTGAGCTGGTACAGCCATTTGGATGGTTTGTCTGGAGAGATGGAACCATCTAATGTTATTTCAACTCCTGGAAGTTTGGCAGGCTTGGAGCTACGTCAGTCCCAGCTAAACACACAGGAACTCAAGCATTCCCCTCGTTTATACCTGCATACAATCCTAAAGTTGAAGTTGAAGAGCCACACAGCTCTTGCTGGTACCATCAACTAGAAGCAGGCCCACCTGCAGCTCCATTTCTCCTTCTGGGTTGCAGCCTCTCCTCCAGCACACCCTCTCCCCTTCAATCTGAGGAGATGGAGGCATCTGAGAAGATGTCA